ATGAGGTTTTCATAAATTACACAGTTTGCACTGAATATTTTACCTAAACGGGAGTCCTATAAAAGTTCCGTCTCTCTCCTAGGATACTTAAATCTAATCTTGTCTATGTCCAACTCAAATTTCTGAATAATTGGATTTATCTAACCACTTAGCTCTACCTTTTCCAATTTTGTTTTTTCTGTACAACCAAAACATACGGATTGTTAATGTCTACCCGACAGCACTAAAACAATCGTGCGATCCATGACTACCCGGTAGAAAAAAATACCCGTCAATCAGGCACACGGAAAAAAATCAATGTCAATCACCCCCACAACGGAAGTCAATCGCACTCACGTGGCAAAAGAAAATCTCTACAAACACCGCATGGAACTTAATGGAAACACGGAAGGAATGTAATCACTCTTACGGAATTACCAGCAAGCAAATAATCACCGTATGGAAACACCAGAAGACAAGTAATAAAATGAAATAAAACAGGAAGAGAATTATGGGAAGGGAAATGAATGTATCGGTATATCACCACATAATGATCATGATCGTGATCCTTCACGTGTGTTTCCATGCTCGGAATTACAAGATGGACGAGAATTGTTGCCACACAATGAGAATTATGGGAAGGGAAATGAATACATTTTTTTTTTCTAAAAAATGAATTATTGCCATGCCTCATGCATCTAGGCTACGTCATAGTAATTCCGAGCATACATGTTTTGGACAAGATAGAGCATGGATAAATTCAATTCGATACCTAGCAATAAATTTTCAGCCTTTCAGGCAACTAATGCTTGTCGTAACTTTTAGACAACAAGCTCTAAGCCTAGCTTTTATTTCAGATTCATTACGATAATGAATGTGTTTCTAGACATTATCATGGTATAACACACGTACAAAATTGAATTGATATATTCTTGATTTTGACTTGGCTACCAAACATCTCGTTTAATTTATGGGGCCGTTCGGCTGGTGTGAATTTCAGCCGGAATTCACTGTTTACCACTGAAATTTACTGTTTACTCTCTCACAAATTCTTCCAGATTCATCCAGATTCCTTCAAATTTCTCCAAGCGAACAGGGCCTGTGTTGCACCCGTTGCAACGCACGGGCACTTATCTAGTTTTTTTAAAAAAACTTATCTTAGGGAACAAACTGCCTGTATGTTGTGAAGATTATATTTTATTTTAAGGCTCCTTGGAAGAAAGGAATTTTGTAGAAAAAATAAATTAAACTCCGAAGTACTCTAAAATCCCTTTGTTCCTCCTATGCTAAAATCCCGGTGGCCCCTCGCGAGCAAGCCCCCGATGGCGCCCGGCGCCCCCGGCGCACGTGCTCCTTCCCCGACAACGGCATTTGCTCTCTCTCTCTCTCTCTCTGCAGTGGGGCAACACTAGTCTTTTTTCAGGATAGGTCCCACATGTGTGAGGTGAAGTTCGAACGAGCTACTATTTTCAGCTTTGAAAAAAGTCTATATAACCCCTGACGTTTAATGATGTGTCTATTTTACCCCTGAATTATAAAATCACGTATTGAGCACTCTAAACTTTTCTAAACCAGTTATTAAACTCCTAGTGGTTTTGGCTGGTGGTATTGTTGACATGTCTTCCGAGCTGGCTCACATTGAAACGTCGGTGTTTGGGCCCACACGTCATAGAAAGGCAGCGCATACTCCCACCTTTTTATACAGAGGCAACTCAGGCAAGGCTGCTGAGAGTGAGAGGTTCCCACGCCGGACAGGGTTTCCCACGCGCTGCACTCCTGTCCCGGCCCGCACCGTCGTCCCGCGCTGCGCTCCCGTCCCGGCCTGCACCGCGGCGCCGCTAGCTGTGCGTGTCGTGGAGCGGCGCGTGCGTGCATTCCTTGAGGGCTCGAGCTTCGGCCGGAGACGGCTACCGTGCAGTCCGTGGTGGCCGCGGCCGCTGTGTCGTGGCTTTGATTTGCGGCTGCCGGCTGAGCTGAGACGGGAGACGGTGTGGTGAACGCTGCCGTGGTTGCCTCGAACTGCGCTCTCTTCATCAGTTTGGACATGGAATTGTGAGAGAAAAAAGTTAGAGAACATGGCTGGTTTCAGCACCTAGTGCAGCCATGAATGCGAACTCTAGCTAATACTGAACTCCAATTTCATTTTGTACCAAATTTACCAAGCTTTGGGACCTTATATCTTTCAAAGCATTAAGGTTTTACCCTAGGCCCTTAAACCAAAATGGTAGAGCTATATACCATGAATGATTTTTGTCAAAAACGATCGAGTTGTTTACCCATGAATATGAGAGAAAGGGGTCAATCAACAGAGCTGGTTTAGGCTCTAAACTTGAGCCTAGTACTGAATCAGCACCGGCAGCAGTCTCCCTTCGAGGCTGCGCAGTGGACAGGTCGAGGCTGGCGCAGGACCTGAGACAGTACAAGTTCCGTATCCTATCCGCGAGTGAGCCGCTGAGATCTGAGGACTGAACTCTGCAGACAAAGAGGCGCTACCGATGGCGGACGCAGATTGGTTGATGGAGAGCAGCCTCGCCTCAAGCTCTGCAGAGGCATGCACCTCCTCCTCCGCGCGCTTCCCAGCGGCAGTCCGCGTCCGTCTGCACGGCCGCCCGCCTCGCACAGTCCTTCAGCAGTGGCCTGGCGTCTCGTTTGCTGAGGGCTGCTCGTCTTCTCCTCTGGCAGCGACCGACGTCCCCGCAGTGGTCGGCCTCCTCTTCTCCAAGGCGTCCTGGCAGCACAGGGCAGTGCGGTCGCCTTGGTGCGGGAAAGCAGAGTCCACACACGGCACGCCACTGTCTCCTGCTGAAAAAACTAAGTCTGTGTATTTTGCGGCGGTGGAGCAGGATGAGCCGAACGGGGAGGTGGCGCGGCTAAATCGCCTGAGCCGCATGCAGAAGAGCATCGGATTCTAAGGTAGACCGCCACATCAGCAAAATCACCTTACAAAATCACTTAAGAAGTTATTTAAACGGTATTGCATAGTTTAAGGTACACAATGTCTGGCTTTATAGTTTAGGAGCCAAAGTAGACAACCTGCCATACACGGGAGGTTATATAGACTTTTTTCTTTCACTTTTATTTTAACTCATGTTTTTTTATGAGAGGAGAAGAAAAACAACTTCACTGTAAAGCTATTTTAAAAATGAGTATCTCTATCTCTACTCCTGTAAAGCACCGATTCAAACATGTGGAGCACCAGAAGAGTCAATAAGACATGTTCTACTAGACTGCACTGTGGCCAAGGATTTTTGGTCTCAAACAAGATTGGCTGCAGGGGTTAACATACTGAGCTTGCAAACAACCACCTAGGCCTCTGATATGATGTCTGACATATGGGCATCCTTTGTGGCATGTGGGCTCTCTGGATGATGCGCAACAAGCGGTGTCATGGTGAGCAATCGATGACAATACAACAAGCAGCACTATGGGCAACGGATACGGCCTTCGATCTCTGGCAATTGGTGCACAGGCCGGAGCCTGTCTGTCGCTCCGGGCTGGAAGCCGCCAGCGTCAGGCTGGGTGAAAGTTAATACCGATGCAGCGTTTCATGCGGGCAGAAAGGAAGGAGCGACAGCAAATATTATTCGAGATCATCATGGAGGTTTTCATGCGGCACAAGCGCAGTGGTATGATCACTGCTTAGATGTGTGCACAATGGAAGCAATGGCGTGCCATGATGGATTGATGCTGGCTGTACAATTGGGGCTACAGCGGATTGCTTTGGAGACTGATAGTCTAGAGCTAGTTCAGCTATGGAAGGAGGAGTCACAGAGGTCCATCGTTGATCCGGTATTGCAGGAGATAGATCAACTTAGACTTGCCTTTCAAGAATTTTCTTTTTCTCATGTTAGTAGAAATTGTAATAAGATTGCACATTTGTTAGCCAAGTAGGTCACTAGTACAAATCGCTCGGAGAGGTGCAATGTAACTCCTGCGATTGCTAGTGATTTGATCTTGTACGAGGCCTCGACCCGTTGAGTTATTGAAAGGCAAGTTTTACAAAAAAAAAACACCGATTCAAATTATCCTTCATCTATCCAATAATTACCTTTTTCACCGTCACGACCTTAGCTAAATCCACGCCAAAATAGACACCAAAATACGTCGCCCTAAAAAGATACGTACCAGATTAACTCTTCTCCCTTCTCTCTCCGTCGTTAACCATATCCGACGGTCATCCTTCAACGGATCTGCATATAGTTTTCTAAACAGGCCAAGCCCGCTGGGCCGACACGGGCACGGTACTATTTGGCCCGGTACGAAAACGGCCCGGCCCGGCAGCTACCGTGCCTGTGCCAAGCACGGCACGGCCCCATGACCGTGCCTGGTCCGCAATGCCAGCACGATGGCACGGCACGGGCACGGCCCGCTTCAGCGGCCGACACGGGGGCGGCACGGCCTCGAGCCGTTGGATGGAGCCCCCCGCCTGCTGACCGTTAGATCTAGGGGTCGGGTGGGACGGCTATATAAGCCAGCCGCTGCGGTGCCGCTCCTGGCTCTCCGCCTCCTGGCTTTCCAAACCCTATCTCATTCGTCATTCCGTCCCCTGTTCCCATTCCAGCCGCATCGAGCTCTCCGCCTCTCCCACTGACTGAAACCCTAGCCGCTCTCCTCTCTTCTTCCCGCCGTCCGGTGGCTGGTTAAGGCGGTGGTTGCTGGCACGGGCACACGACACTTCTACACCACTCTTCCTTCTCCCTGACCGTCGATGTAGCTTTCTCGTCGAGATCCACCACCGTTCGTCTTCGTCTGTCTCGTCGCTCTCATCGACCTCGCCGGAGTCCGGCATCATTGGGGCTCCGCTCTGATGCGTTGAGGTACCAGGGTGTCGGGTCTCTGCGACGTCGTCGTCGCCGTTGTCTCTGGTGCTCCGTCAAGAGAGGTGAGCCGTAACCCTAGATCTGTTCGTTTTTGTTCTTCTTCTTCATTTCTTCATGATCTTCTATTAACTCTAGGTGTTCTTGTTGTTCTTGGTTTTGGTAGGCATTGGCGTTGAGGGACCGGAGGCCGGCGACGACGAGATGTCGGACGAGCGAGAGGACATCGGTCTCTCCATGACCACCAACGACGAGCTGCGCCTCTGCGGGCTGACCGGAGACGACGAGGACGATGTCGCTGGGGATGCTGAGGAGCTCTTCGGCCGTCGTGCTTTCTTCTTTGTGATTTCAGATTTATCAGATTTCAAGTTTGTTTTTGAACTGTTCTTTTGATTCTGATCTGTTGAAGTGGTGATGTGGTTTTAGTGTCAAGACACAACACTAATCCGCTAGGCTGCCGTGCCCTGTGGCACGGCACGACACTATCTGAGAGCTTTAGTGCCGTGCCTAGGTCAAAGTCTAGGCACGGTGGCACTACACGGCACGATACGACATGCCGTGTAGTGCTAGTGCCGTATAATGCCAGTGCCGTCCGATTGTAAAACTATAGATCTGCACCTCCTTCGGCCATCAAGGCAGACGCGGCTGTGGGGAACCTGGACCGCGCGGGAGTGGCCGAGGCCATCAAGGAGATCGCCCCGCGCTCCTACGTGGTCACAGGTCTGAATCTTCTCCGTGGGCGCCGCAGCGGCGCGAACAGGGCCCCGGCGGTCGGCGCCCCCAACGGCAGATGCGGAGGGTCGGGCTCGGCGTGGCAGCGGTCGCCGCCGCGCTGGTGGCGCGCAGGGCATCGGCGCGGGTGCGCTGGCGCCGGGCCGTAGCGCTGCTCGGGGAGTTCCAGGATAGGGCGCCGCCGCCTGGCGAGGCGCGAAGCCGGGCGGGGCCGCCAGCGCCGGGGGAGGCAGCCTGCACGGCGGTCGGCCAGGGCATGCGGGTCAAACGGCCGCCGCGCCGCGCGTGACGCCTCCGGCCGGCCCCTTCTGCTCCGTCAACTACTGCCCAGTACGTGGTAATCCTCCTACTTCGAGCCATCCAATGCGCTGTCGATGCATCCCGTGCTCCTAGCCGCATCCATGCCGCCCTGCTTGGCTGCTGGAAATCGAGGTTTGCAGCTCTGGCCAAATCCTCCGCTCGGTGGGTAAGACAAGAAAAAAACTAACCAAACTGTTGACCTCCTGGTGGAATTACTGAAATTTAGTTTTTTCTTCTTCTCTCCAATAGATGGATTTGGAGATGGAAAGCGCCTCGCAAGCCTGAAGACTACGAACAGGAGTGGTGATTAATCAGGTACTATCATAAGTTTTAGGGGTTCCTGTGGTTCTCATGATAAATAATCAAAGCCTATTTTACTAATTCTACAATATTCATTCTGCTCGCAGCAGTAACAAAACTTCCCCGGTCTCTGCTAGCGACACCTCAATAAGCTTCCTGCTGCCTCGGTGAGCTCTTCCGTTTTCCTTGTTTTGGTCATTTTTTTAGTTCAAAGTTCTCTGTGTAACTTGCATTGCTCTGAATTGCTTCATAATTGAATCTGGCGCTTGTGCTGCTGATTGTTTATTGATTTTTTTTCCAATTTCACCACTTCAATGAATAGATGATTGCTTTTTTATACCCCAATAACCTCCTAGGAAAATGGTACTGAAAATGGCTTTTGCTTCTGTAGTCGGTTGCTGTTTTTGGAGCTGCAGTGGTATCAGAGAATAGTTTTGTTGGGAAAATGGAATTGGATTATTTCTCATTTACCTTGAAGTAGAGCAAAGTTGGCAAACTCCACACCATCTACTATTTGGTTTCATCGGATTGAGGTAGCAATCAGCACTGTTATATGATTTTTTTAGGGGAACAGGAGGGGCTTGCTGTTGAGGACTCCTTCGTTGGACGCCAGTATAGGCGCCGGCCTAGGCGTCCACGAGAGTCCAAAGAGTCCAACCGTGGCTAAGGCCCGGTTTGTTAGGAAAGTAAGGGCCAGGGAGAGATTTTAGGAGATTTGGTTGATTTGTTAGAAGATATGTCTCTGTTCTATAAAGGGCCATCTAGATTGTAATCAGGGGATATCGAAGAAGGAATAAACTCTCCCTGTATCAGGGTGGGAGTTTCCCTTTGACGGTGGCGTCGAGCGCCGGAGAAGATCCCACCGCCGAGGTTCCTCGCTATCCTCTGCGTTCCAATTCTCAATCCAGCCTCCTTCAACACTCTCCCCTCCGTTCACCACACCGCCGACGCCGTATCAATTTGGTATCGGAAACCTCCACGAGTGCATCGACAACCATGTCCAGCACTCCCTTCGACCCTGCGGCCTTTGAGGCGAAACTGGATGCAAAGCTGGACTGTATCTTCGGTCAGCTTACCACCATCACCAACCGGCTCAACTCCCACGATTCCCGCCTAGCGCGCGTTGAGACTGGCAAACCCGATTTCGGCAAGGGCGGGGCGGACGCGGCTGGCGGCGGGGATGTCCATCGCGACGACAGTGGCGCCCACCGTGAAGACCGCGAGGACTACGACGCCCGTGGCTCTGCTCGGGACCGCGCCTGGGAAGACTTCCGCGCCCGCGCGCTTCGAGACCGCACGCGCTATTTCGACTCGCACGATCGGTTTGCGCGTCGCGAACAGGAGGGCTTCAGTCGCGACTTCTACAGCCGGGGCGCCTGCGACTTGGACGAGCGTGGCGGTCGCGGCCGTGACTACGGCATTCGCGATGACCGCGATTTCGACTCTGGCGGACGTGACTTCGACCATGGCGCCTTTGGGCGCGACTACGACTACGGCGGTTGCGCCTTTGGCCGCGGAGGGCGCTGCTGTGACGATGTCGCCGGCCGTCGTGAACCCCACAGGCCACCGAAGTTTCAGTTTCCTAGCTTCGATGGGGAGTCTGATCCGCTCACGTGGCTCAACAAATGTGACAACTACTTTCGTGGACACCGTGTGACGGAGGACGAGAAGGTCTGGATGGCGTCGTTGCACCTGGATGGCACCGCGGCCGAGTATTACTACCAAATGGAGCGCGATTTTGGGACGATCTCTTGGCCGCGCTTCGTTGAATTCGTCAACCTCCGCTTTGGTCCGCCAATTCACACTAACTCTGTTGCTGAGATCAAGGCCCTGGTCCGCATGGGCACGGTGGAGGAATGCTCTCGGTGCTACCTAGCCCTACTCTCCCGCTGCGACAACCTCTCCACGCGGTGGACTCCTTCGTTGGCTGCCAGTATAGGCGCCGGCCTAGGCGTCCACGAGAGTCCAAAGAGTCCAACCGTGGCTAAGGCCCGGTTTGTTAGGAAAGTAAGGGTCAGGGAGAGATTTTAGGAGATTTGGTTGATTTGTTAGAAGATATGTCTCTGTTCTATAAAGGGCCATCTAGATTGTAATCAGGGGATATCGAAGAAGGAATAAACTCTCCCTGTATCAGGGTAGGAGTTTCCCTTTGACGGTGGCGTCGAGCGCCGGAGAAGATCCCACCGCCGAGGTTCCTCGCTATCCTCTGTGTTCCAATTCTCAATCCAGCCTCCTTCAACACTCTCCCCTCCGTTCACCACACCGCCGACGCCGTATCAATTTGGTATCGGAAACCTCCACGAGTGCATCGACAACCATGTCCAGCACTCCCTTCGACCCTGCGGCCTTTGAGGCGAAACTGGATGCAAAGCTGGACCGTATCTTCGGTCAGCTTACCACCATCACCAACCGGCTCAACTCCCACGATTCCCGCCTAGCGCGCGTTGAGACTGGCAAGCCCGATTTCGGCAAGGGCGGGGCGGACGCGGCTGGCGGCGGGGATGTCCATCGCGACGACAGCGGCGCCCACCGTGAAGACCGCGAGGACTACGACGCCCGTGGCTCTGCTCGGGACCGCGCCTGGGAAGACTTCCGCGCCCGCGCGCTTCGAGACCGCACGCGCTATTTCGACTCGCACGATCGGTTTGCGCGTCGTGAACAGGAGGGCTTCAGTTGCGACTTCTACAGCCGGGGCGCCTGCGACTTGGACAAGTGTGGCGGTCGCGGCCGTGACTACGGCATTCGCGATGACCGCGATTTCGACTCTGGCGAACGTGACTTCGACCGTGGCGCCTTTGGGCGCGCTACGACTACGACAGTTGCGCCTTTGGCCGTGGAGGGCGCTGCCGTGACGATGTCGCCGGCCGTCGTGAACCCCACAGGCCACCGAAGTTTCAGTTTCCTAGCTTCGATGGGGAGTCTGATCCGCTCACGTGGCTCAACAAATGTGACAACTACTTTCGCGGACATCGTGTGACGGAGGACGAGAAGGTCTGGATGGCGTCGTTGCACCTGGATGGCACCGCGGCCGAGTGGTACTACTAGATGGAGCGTGATTTTGGGATGCTCTCTTGGCCGCACTTCATCGAATTCATCAACCTCCGCTTTGGTGTGCCAATTCGCACTAACTCTGTTGCCGAGATCAATGCCCTGGTCCGCACGGGCACAGTGGAGGAATACTCTCGGCGCTACCTAGCCCTGTTCTCCCGCTGCGACAACCTCTCCTTGCAGACAGCCATTGACCTCTACACCGGTGGGCTAGGTCAGCTGTTGGCCTCAGATGTGGAACTCCAGTACCCAGTTGACCTGTAGCACGCCATGAGTTTGGCGCGGGCGTATGAGCAGCGCCACCTGGTGGAGGCCTCCACCGTCAATAGTTCAGCGCCGCCCAAGTCCTCTACTCGCCGCGCCTTTGCGTCAACTGGTGCGGGTGTGCAGGATAGCAAGACGGAGGGGTCGCGCTCTTGCTTTCGTCGTCTTACACAGGCGGAGATACAGGAGAAGCGGCAGAACGGCCAATGTTACTTCTGCCTAGAGCCTTATTCCAAGGACCACAAATGCGGGGCGAAGGGCGTCTTCCTCATGGACCTTGCGGAGGGCGAGGACGATCCGTTCGGCGACGACGTCACCGACTTGGAGATCTCCTTGCACGCACTGACCGGCCTCGGGCCTGCTGGTTCCATGCTGCTGCAGGTTACCATTGGAGGCGTCCCGTTCAAGGCACTGGTGGATACCGGTTCCACGCACACCTTCATCCACTCCGATGTGGCCGCTCACTGGGCCTCTCGGTTACCCCACGCGCCGGCCTCAACGTCATGGTGGCCAATGGCGATCGCGTGCGCAGCCCAGGCGTGTGCCTTGCCACCGATGTCGTCATCCAGGGCGAGCGCTTCGCCATCGACTGCTTCGCCCTCGACCTCGTCCTCGGTGTCCAGTGGCTTCGTACTTTGGGGCCTATCGTTTGGGACTTCGCCGCCCTCTCGATGGCCTTCTGATACAACGGGCGCTCGCACCACTGGATCGGCATGGGCCGCCTGGCATGGCTGTCCGTGTCATCGCCGACCCCCGGGGTGTGCTAGAGGAGCTCTTGCAGTCATACGCCGACATCTTCGAGGAGCCGCGCGGACTGCCACCAGGTCGCCGCCATGACCACCGCATCCACCTCATGCCCGGCTCGCCTCCTGTGGCTGTGCGGCCATACCGATACCCGCAGCTCCTCAAGGACGAGATCGAGCGCCAATGCAACGACATGTTGGCGCAAGGGATCATCCGAGAGTCTACTTCGCCGTTCTCCTCCCTGGTGCTCCTAGTTCGCAAGCACGACGACAGTTGGCGCTTCTGCGTTGACTACCGCGCTCTCAACGATTGCACTGTCAAGGACAAGTTTCCTGTTCCGGTGGTGGACGAGCTGCGCGGTGCCCGCTTCTTCATCAAGATTGATCTTCGCAGCGGGTACCATCAGGTGCGCATGCACCCGGATGATATCGCCAAGACCGTGTTTCGAACGCACCGCGGCCACTTCGAATTCCTCGTCATGCCGTTTGGCCTCACAACGCCCCTGCAACGTTCCAAGCACTTATGAATGATATTTTGAAGCTCTACATTCGCCGCTTTGTGCTTGTGTTTTTTGATGATATTTTTATCTTCAATTCTTCCTGGACGGAACACCTTCAGCATGTGCGAACAGTGCTGCAGCAGCTGCGCGTTCACCGTCTCTTCGCCAAGCGCTCCAAGTGTTTTTTTGGCGAACCCTCGGTGGCATACCTCGGTCACATCATATCAGCTGAGGGCGTTGCCATGGATCTGGCGAAGGTGGAGGCAGTGGAGACTTGGCCGCGGCCTCTCACGGCCCGCGCTCTCCGGGGGGTTCCTGGGCTTGACCGGATACTACCGGAAGTTCATCGCCGATTATGGCGGTGTGGCGGAGCCCTTGACGGCACTCTTGAAGCGCGAGGCGTTCTCCTGGACACCGGAGGCTGATGGGGCGTTCTTGGCCCTCAAAAGCGGCGCTGATGACGGCGCCCCTGCTCCAGCTTCCTGACTTCTCCAAGCGCTTCATCGTCGATTGCGACGCGTCGGGGGCGGGGTTCGGTGCCGTTCTCCATCAGGGGGACGGTGCGGTGGCCTTCAGCAGCAGGGCGGTCGCTCCCCATCATGCCAAGTTGCCGGCATATGAGCGCGAGCTCATCGGTTTGGTGAAGGCGGTCCGTTATTGGCGGACGTATTTGTGGGGGCGTCCATTCACTGTTCGTACAGATCATTGGAGCTTGAAGTTCATATTAGATCAGTGCCTCACTACAATTCCGCAGCACACTTGGGTCACCAAGCTGTTCGGCTACGGCATCACTGTTGAGTACCGACCTGGGAGACTCAACACCGTTGCTGATGCCTTGTCTCGCCGGGATGAAGACCTTCCTGCAGTTCGGTCTCTGTCCGCGCCCATCTTCAACCTCTACGACGCTCTACGGGCCGAGCTGCAGGCTGACGGCCAAGCACAGAGTCTGCGCGACCACCTGGCAGCTGGCACAGCCCCTGCTGGCTGGACTCTTGTTGATGGGCTGCTGCGTTCCAGGGGCGCATCTTTGTGCCTGATGCCTCTACGCTGTGGCCTCAGCTTCTGCAGGAGGCTCACGACACAGGTCATGAGGGAGCTCAGAAGACATTACACCGGCTGCGTGCGTCCTTCTACAACAGCCGTGCACGCCGCCTTGTCCGTGACTTCATCCGCAGTTGCTCGGTTTGTCAGCGGAACAAGACTGAGCATTTGCATCCGGCCGGTCTCCTACAGCCGCTGCCCGTGCCGGAGCATGTCTGGAGCGACATCGCCATGGATTTTGTAGAAGGCTTTCCGCGTGTCAGCGGAAAATCGGTCATCCTCACCGTTGTCTACCGGTTCTCCAAGATGGCACATTTCATTGCCCTCAGCCATCCATATTCAGCGCAATCAGTGGCTCGTGCCTTCTTTGAGAACATCGTCCGGCTCCATGGGTTTCCATGCTCTATAGTGAGCGATCGAGACCCGGTCTTCACTAGCACCTTCTGGGAGGAGTTGTTCTGTCTTGCAGGGGTCAAGTTGCTCCGCAGCTCCGCTTTCCACCCTCAGACGGATGGACAATCCGAGGTAACAAACCGCATCATTGTCATGTATTTGCGGTGCCTCGCTGGCGATCGTCCGCGCTCGTGGCTGCAGTGGTTACCATGGGCGGAGTATTGCTTCAACACTTCATTCCAGTCCGCCCTTCGCGCCACTCCTTTTGAGGTTGTCTATGGCCGTGCTCCGCCAACCTTGCTGTCCTATACAGCCGGCACGGCCAAGGTGGCTGCTGTGGATCAGCAGCTTCGTGACCGCGCCGCTTTCCTGCAGGATATCCGTGATCGGCTGCTGCTGGCTCAGGATGTCATGACTGAGCACCAGAACAAGAAACGGCGCTCTGTGGAGGGCAGTCGGTGATTGGGTTCTGCTCCGTCTTCAGCATCGCACAGCTGTCGGCATCACTCCAGCATCATCCTCCAAGCTTGGGCCTCGTTACTTTGGGCCTTATCAAGTCACAGAGCGGATTGGTGTTGTGGCTTATCGCCTGCGCCTTCCTCCAAAGGCCAGAATCCATGATGTCTTTCATGTGGCGTTGCTGAAGAAATTTGAGGGCGACCCTCCAGCTGAGTTGGTACCTCTGCCGCCCATTCTTCATGGCCGTGTGGTGCCTACTCCTTCTCAGGTGATCTGTGCACGTTTGAACCGTGGTCGCTGGGAGTTACTTGTGCAGTGGGAGGCTGTGCTGCAGCTGAAGCTTCGTGGGAGCCTGTCAAAGACTTCAAGGAGCGGTATCTGCAGTTTCAGCTCGCGGACGAGCTGTTTGTTGGGGAGGAGGGAAGTGTTGTGGACTCCTTCGTTGGCCGCTAGTATACGCGCCGGCCTAGGCGTCCACGAGAGTCCAAAGAGTCAACCGTGGCTAAGGCCCGGTTTGTTAGGAAAGTAAGGGCCAGGGAGACATTTTAGGAGATTTGGTTGATTTGTTAGGAGAGATGTCTCTGTTCTATAAAGGGGCATCTAGATTGTAACCAGGGGATATCGAAGAAGGAATAAACTCTCCCTGTATCGGGGTGGGAGTTTCCCTTTGACGATGGCGTTGAGCGCTTCAGCCATGACCACCGGAGAAGATCCCACCGCCGAGGTTCCTCGCTATCCTCTGCGTTCCAATTCTCAATCCAGCCTCCTTCTCCACTCTCCTCCTCCGTTCACCACACCGCCGGCGCCGTATCACTTGCCCCTGCAGAGTTTTATTGAAAGAACACAAGATGTGAGTGTCCTGTATGGCTGTATCATAAACTGATCCCTCCTTGTGAGACTTCAGACGCCCAAGCCTTTCCTTCTTTTTTCTGTGATGATGTGCAGAATATCTCTCAGCTAGCATCCATGAACTACGACCTGATGACGAAGCACAACTTCGATCCTTCTCAGTCCTCGAAATAAACCTTGATATCAGAGCAGTAAAGGTAGGTAATAATGTTCCATTTCAGAGCAGTAGGGGTGGCTGCTGCTGGCTTGAGCATGGTGGCATAGCAACCATATCCCATATCAACTTGAGAAGATTCCTGATTTTTTCCATGTACCATTTGATTGTTGCATCTATTTTATCTTCCGTAGTTCCTGTTCTATCTAGACTTCAGATTAGTAAAGAAGTAATATATCCTGTGAATGGCTTTAATATTTGCATGAGTCTGTCCATGCAGTATGTCATTTCACTTGAATAACAGAACCAGTTTGATGCGAGAATAGATGGGGCTCATTAGCTTTTTTTTAAGTCTAATTCACCAGCTCGTCAGATCAATTTATCAAGACTTTGAATGCTCTCAATTTGATCATTATTTGTGCAACAGTACAATTATACAAATTGCTTATAGCCAAAAATATTCTATCTGGTGATTGCTAAATTTTAACGTGGTAAAAGTGTTACTGAATTACAAAAGTTGGTGCTATTTTAGTCTTCAATATTCAGGCACTTAATTTGTGGTTTTGCTCTTGGTTCAGTATTCAAGACTTTTAAAATTTCTTGGAACTTTGATGAACTTGGCAGATAATTCCACCAGGGTGACCACCGGGCAGAAATGGAGAGAATCTGATGTTACACACAAGAATGCCAACTCTATATGCACCCTTAATTCGTGATGGGAGAATAAACAAATTCTATTGGTATGTTCTCCTATCTGGAGTTCTGTACAATGATCTAGACCAACTGAAACTTCTGAACAGGAGTATTTTAATTTCCCTTTAGCCCTGTGTATAATTAGGTGTTTGCTTGTCTTCTTGGCATTGCCATTTTATACAGTACAAAATGTGATAGACTGAAGATAGGTGCCTAATTTTGTCAGGAAATTTTTGTTTTATTATTCCTTTAATCGATCTCTACAATTTTGTTTTTCTTGCTTGCTTGAGATTGTCTGGTTAGGCAAGTATCTCATTTTCTGTGGACTTGTTACCAAGGCCACAAGACAAATGATGGGCATTTGCAACTTTTCACAATCAGCGTGGGGTGCAAGTGGTTAACACAAAGGGGAACTCTTTTGCCTACAAGGATATCAATGGATATCTACTTGCTTAATTACCTTTTGCCTTTAAAAAAAAATTATCATCTTCTTTTCTATGTCTTCACCTATGATGAAAACCTGAATATCCAAATGATGATTGATGCAATTATGAGGTCAATTGCAATTTCCTACCCTGAATTGATTTTGGACTTAACGTGGCCCGTAGGGTTAGCACGGTTCTGACACCCTCCTTTTTTCTCCCTTTGTTTTCATCTCTTGGTTCATGTCAAGTGATTTTGAAGTTTATTTTTTCTTGCATTATGTGGGGGCACCATTTTGGATTAATGTGTCCCGTAGCGTTAGCACGGGCAATATACTAGTTTGGCTTAAAAAAAACAGCTCGCTGTGCCAAACAGGCCCTTTGTCATGGAATAAAATGCAAAACTCATTTCGAAGGACCATAAAACTTCGAACCATCAGATGCAAATCTCTCAGGTAGTCAGGTGTCCCTGCACTGCAGCCTGCAACTTGCTCCTAAAAGTCACTCGCAGTTGCAGCCGTGACACATCGCACATGCATGCACCAAAGTCCACACACCTTGCTATCAGAGAATGGATCGGATAACAATAGATAACAAGAGCAGATTCTCTGGCGCACACGGCCATCCACCATTCAACGGGTGCTGTCGCGCGCGTGCCAAATTTGTCCTAGGTAGAAGTAACGATCTATGGAGCTTTCAATTGATACTGTTCATCTTGTGAGTTTATGACTAAAATTGTAAAACATCACTGTTCAGTATACAACGTATTCACGAGGGCTCACAGATGGCCAAAATGTGTTGCATTCTTCTGTGCAATGACCCATTCCAGTGGATGTGGATCGTGGATGGACATGGACTAGGCGGCGTAGAGCTCAGGCTTGGACAGCCTCGGCGTCGGCACGGCCACCAGCGGCGTGGCCTTCTTCATGACGATCGCGAACTTCTCGTCCAGCTCCAGCCTCGCGCCGGCCGGCAGCTCCCAGTCGAACGCCTGCAGCAGCATGGCCAGCGAGTAGGCCGTCATGCGGTCGGCCATGGCAATGCCGGCGCAGATCCTGCGCCCGGACCCGAACGGGAGGTACTCCATCTCGCTGCCGTTGAAGTCCCACTTGCGCCCTTCGCCTTCGCCGCCGGCGCCACCGCCCAGGAACCTCTCCGGGACGAACTCCTGCGGGTCCTTCCACACGGTGGGGTCCCTCATGATCGCCCACACGTTGACGAACACGCGGCACCCCGCGGGGACGCGGTACCCGCCCACCGTCGCGTCGGCGCTGGGGCAGTGCGGCACCATCAGCGGCAGCGCCGGGTGCAGCCGCAGCGTCTCCTTGAGCACCGCGTGCAGGTAGTGCAGCTGCGGGAGGTGCGACTCCTCCACCACCGCGTCCCTGCCCACCACCTCGTCCAGCTCCTGCCGCACCTTGGCCAGGAGCTCCGGCTTCTGCATCAGCTCCGCCATGGCCCACTCCACGGTGTTCGACGTGGTCTCCGTGCCCCCGACCACCATGTCCTGCCGTTCGTTTTATTGGATGCATTAGCCGTATTAATTGGAGTAGTACTACTAAGTGACGTACAGGTTGGGTGATTAGCAGCTAGCAGGTGCTCGATGAATCATACCATGAGCAGTGCCTTGACGTTGGTCATGGTGAAGGATGCCTTCCCGTCGCCGCCTTCCTTCTCGAGCTTGAGCATGTACTCCAAGAAGTCGGGCGCCGGGGGCTGGCCGCCGGCGCGCTCGGCGCTGACCCTCTGCTCGATGATCCTGGCGAACATCTGGTTGAACCGCTCCTTGAGCACGTCGGACTTCTTCCGTATCCCCTGCAGGTCGAAGCGCGCGAGCGCCGGGAAGAAGTCGGACACGTTGGGCGCGCCGAGCATGTCGGTGATCTCGGCGACGAGGTGCCTGAACTCCTTGCCCACCGCGGCGCGCTCGCTGTCGCTGCCGACGTTGCCGCCCCACAGCGTGCCCGTGATGACGTTCATGACGGTGAGGAACATCTGCGCGCCGACGTCGACGGGAGCCGCGGCGCGGGCCTGCGCCTGGAGGTGTGCGAGCGTGGCCCTGAACTCGCGCGCGCGGAGGCCGTGCACGTTGTCCAGCCCCGCGGGGCTGAGCATCTCCCGGACGCACACCCGCCGCAGGAGCCGCCACGTGGGGCCGACGGGGTTCCACACGATGTTCTGCCCGCCGCCGTAGGAGATGGAGCGCGCCGCGTCCGGGACGTCGCGGCCGGAGAAGACGAGGTCCTGCTCGCGCAGCACCTCGCGCGCCAGGGACGGGGAGGTGACCACCACGCCCAGCTTGGAGCCCAGGCGGATGGAGAATATGGGCCCGTACCTGCCCGCGAGGCGCGCGAAGTAGACGTGCAGCTGCGGGTCCAGCGACGGCAGGCTGCCCACCAGCGGCAGGCCCGTGGGACCCGGCGGGAGGCCGCCGCCGTTGCTCTTGCTCCCGCGGCCGCGCACCGTGGCGGCCACGAAGAGGAACGCCGCCAGGAGGAGCGCGCCGTAGAGGAGCGTGGTGGAGGCTGCTGCTGCTGCGGCGTCCATGGCTAAGGAGAGGCCGGGCAGAGCAGACAGTCGTGCACGTCTGGGAGCGGGACGGGGTGCAGACGTGCAGTGTGATGGGTGGCAGAAATTATACCGGGCCCGGGCGGTGGCGGCCGTCCAGGCCGCGATATTTCCCAGCCCACCGGGACGGTGATGGCATCTCTGCCTGTGGACGGGAGCACGGAGGCGGGGGGCGCGACGGAGATGCGGCGTTTGTCGCGTCCCGGCACGCCGCGCGCTCACGGCCGACGACCCACCGCGAAAACAATGCCGCGTGGGGTGCGTGCTCACGGCCGACAACGACCCACTGCGAAAACAATGTCGCGTGGGGTCCTTTTGGACGCACACGCACCGCACCAGACGCGCGCAGGCGCAGCAGTTCCTGGGTCCTGGCTCTCAAAGAACCGTAGCGTCGGCGGCGTGCTCTGGGATACTACTAGTTCAGATAGATAGAGTAGATAATTGGGCGTGTTGTGTCACATTCTCATTTAATTGGGCGTGTTGTATTTTAAACATTTAAAATGGGCGACATCTCGTGCTTTGGCAGATCTTTTCTCACGAAAATCAGTTTCATTGGATTTGCTGGTTTTCGGGTGGTACGCGCTTGGGCGGCGGGTACGGTAGTAACGATGGGCATGGGTTTGGACCTGTCGATGGAGTGTGGCCCGCCGTACGTGTCGCTTCTCATCACTTGTATAGTACTTGTGATGCCCGACGGCCGGAGAAATCGACGCCGGCTGACCGCGCCACCACGTAGTGGAAGGTGAACGCTGTGATTGCGACAGGGGGTAGCTACGCACCGGCCGATGCCGTCGGCTCTGGCTCGGTTAATTTACACAGCCCCAACGGTGATCCTATTTAGGACCTCGAGAACACATATTTTACGATCTTTTCTTTAGCTATTTCTAGCGTTAGGCTCAACTAATAATCAATCAGGATATAAATAATATGTTTTAGTCCGTAAGCTGTTCGAGGATATTTTATTTATATTCATTGTAAATATGGAAATATCTTAGTGTGCTATCCGATTCGATAGCGGAGGACGTTGCCAAGGAAAATGGTACTTCCTATATTCTAAATTATAAAATATTTTAACTTTATTAGAAAGTCAAAACATCTCATGTTTAACCAAACTTATATAATAAATAATAACATTTATGATATTAAATAAGTATCATTAGATTCTTCAATAACTATATTTTTATAATATATCTATTTGATGTCATAATTTTTTGTAACTTTCTCTATAATTTTGATCAAATTTAAGATGTTTTGACTCTCCAATAAAATTAGAATACTAGAACGGAGGGAGTACTAACAATGCCTGTAGGGGGTACGACCCTGGATACCCACGATAGACTACATGACTACATGGGCTGCACCGCCAGGGGTGGTCTAGCCCACAAGACAAAGCCTTGCGGAGCACAGCGCTGCTCGGCGCCCCCCGCAAGACACCGGGAAGATATCCTGAAAATACGGCGTAATTTGTTAGGATATGTTACGATCCCGTAATCCCTGTAATCTGTTATTACTTACCAGTTATCTCATATATCTAACCGACTTGTAATCCTACCTCCGGCTATATAAGACGGGCAAGGGATCCCTAAAAACACCAGCAATATCATATGATAGCCAATACAAACCAGCATACCACAAGAGTAGGGTATTACGTCGTGCTGACGGTCCGAACCTGTCTAACTCTTGTGTCTCTATTGTCTTCTTATTCTTGATTACGCGCATCGTTGCCGATCAATCTATCTTCGTGGGATACCCCTCGGAGGACTGCCGATGATATTCTATCGACAGTTGGCGCGCCAGGTAGGGGTGTGCATGTTGTTTCTATGACGAATAAGATGGTATATTTTGCAGGCTCTTCGTCCTCTCCAAAGCCCAGCCAGATCTTTACGGTCGGATCGATCTCCTGGGTCATGAACGCCGATGGAGACGGAGAGATCATCGAGCCGGTGCAGATCGATTCTGTGCCGACCACACCAACACCTGCAACAGCAAATCCGATCACGGAACCGCTTCCGAGGTCGTCTTTACCAACAACTCGTCGCTTGCCTAAGGAAAATTTTTGAAATGGGTTTCTCGGAATTTTTGATTTAAAACGTATTCAACGCGATATGCGAATCCTGTATGACTTGGTTTCGTGGACTCGAATCAACGCCCAAGTTAAATTACGCAGTGCGTAGAAATATTTAGGAATGTCGAACGACGATGCGAGCGAACAGCTCCACAGCGATGACGGGACGTCTTCCTGCCGTGCTCCGTCGCTTGTCGTCAGTAGTGCGTTTCCCCTTGTTCGAAATTAATCCGTAATCCGAATTATTAACGTCGCACCATGGCAGAGTTAGGTCGAGTTAGTCCTGTCTCCCCGCTTGCTCGCTCTATCGGACTCTGCTTGTCTTTTACGCCAATACTCCCTGCTCATCGCTGCTAATGCTGTGTATACTTTTTACCTACCTTCGTTGTCCCGTCGCTCTGCAATGTTGTCGGCGCACGTCGCGCGGTCCCTAATTAATGGAAGTTACCAGGGTACACCTACTGCTGTCCGTGCTGCTTGTACGTTTCTCTTGCTGGTGATAGGGAATGTCTTGTCCAATTATTTTTAATGGAAGCACCAGCAACTGTGCAGTGGCAGTGCAATGAATCTGATCGGCCGACCCACGTGCTGCTGCTCCCGCTATGCTCTCTCTCATGATTGCCGATTCGTTTGTTTTTCTTTCTCTCGCCGAGGCCAGCGCGCTGCTCTGCCTCATTTCCTCTCCTCCGCGTGCAGCACCGAACCCACTCCTTTTCCCGTCGCCGACTCATTCCACCCGTCTCTCTCGGCGCCCTCACCCTCCACTCCGCTGCTGCCTCCTCTGCCTCCTCTGTGCAGCCGCGACCGTGACCGCCACTCGCTGTCGAGGCCAGCCAGAGGAGAGGAGTACAGTCAAGTCCGCGGGCACCTCACCTGCCCAGGCTCATACCTCCCCCCGCCTCCCTCAACGCAAGCCGCCTCGTCTCCTCCACGCCCACGGCGCCAGCGAGCTCCCCCCCCGACGAGTTGTCAGCCTCCCGGAGCTCAGCACGCAGGTGGGGCCAGTGAGCGGTGCAGAAGGTCTGGTCTGGTTGTGCGTGTTCCCACGACCGTTGTTGGGGCAGATCCATGGAGCTCAGCCGCCCGCAGCGTGGATAGTGCTGCACGTCTGCACCAGCGGGTCACGAGGACTGCCCACCTCCTGTTGTTTGGTCTCGCTAGCCATTTTTGAGGCGTCTGACTTGTAAGATATGGCCACGGCGATGGACTTGGCCAACCCTGGAGCAGCTGCTGGCTCAGGAGGAATGCCTAGTGACGCCCTGTACCGGGAGCTGGGGCATGCGTGTGCTGGGCCGTGGTCACAGTACCTAGACAAGGCAAGCGCGCCAGTCAGGCCGGTCGTGGCCGCACCTCTCCATGCCGCCGGTGCCGAGGAGCTTGCTGCGCCGTGGTCGCCCCCGCCGGGCCGCGCACTCCTTCCCCGCGCGCGCACCAACGTCGCAGCGCCGGTGTCCCACGCCGTCCCGGAGCCAGCCGAGCCACTGAGCGCCGCATGCGCCGCCGCCTCTTCCGTGCGTCCCGCGCTGGACCACGGCAGCCATGGCTGCGCCGCCGTCCGCGCGCGAGAGCTTCCGTGCCCGCACGCCCGAGCCGCCGCGCTGTCCATCCGCCGTCGAAATTCCTCGCGCGCCCGCGCACGTGACCCCACGGTCCCGCTGCGCTGCCCCGCCGGCTCAGCTTTAGGCGCCAACGCCGCCCCACGACCCGCTCGGCACCCCAGCACCACACCCGGCTGTGACTCAGCGCCTCGCCGGCTCGTCCGCGCCGTGCGCGGCCATCGCCGCAGCCGCCCTGACAGCACCGCCACCGGCCGGTTTCCCCTGCCTCTGCGATGCTCTGCTTTAGAAGACAAGGTAAAGGGTGAGAAATCCAAGAAAAATAATTATACGGGTTTCATTTGTGAAATACGTGACTTGAATGAATAGTGCCTGTTGGACTGCGTTTTAGTTTCGAGGTAGTACAAGGGCCGTTTAGCAAATTGCCGTCGCCACATGCCGTCTGGGCCGCCAGCGCCTGGTTGGTGGGCCGCGCCGCTGCCTACGCCTGGGCCACCCGCGCCGCGCGCTGGGCTGGCCGACTCGGCGCCCGCTGGCCGGGTGCCACTCCCACCTGGGCCGCCGCGCTCGTTACTGCGCCGCTCGGGCCCTCGCTCTTTTTGTGTTAGTTTTTGTTAAGTCAGTGCTCTTCCAAAATTTGAAAATAAATAGTAGAAAAATCATTAAAATGCCAAACCAGTTTGGGTTAGTCTCCTAAAATCATAATCTATCTAGTAGTGTATTTTATTCACACAGACTCGGAAAGTTTTTATGGTTGCTCTAATCATTTTAAAAATGTTTAATATTGTTAAAAGGAGAACTTGTATGAATTTCCGTGGTGAATTGGTAATAATATTGGATCTGAAATCTTTACAGTGGGTTCCTAGCAATATTAGCTGCTCACCGTAATTTTTGTAGCTCTAGAATAATTAGTTGCTAGATAAATAATAATGTGCTATTGCGAATAAAGAAACACCGTTGGTTTATAGAACTAAAATAATTGTTGGAAAATAGTGTCTCATCCGACAACGTGTATATGTAGCCAAGTACGGTTGTCGTTAGAACTAGCTCTTTAGTTTGAGAGGCGTAAATCGTATTTTACGAGTCACGATTGCAGTCGATTAATTATGTCTTTGCATTTGCATCGCATTGCATCTCATATAGGTACGATGATGGATCAATGGATCAATTGAAGGATGATTGGGAATCCAAAGATGGTGTAATGGTATTCTCTCCAGGAGATGATGCAATGGGCTTTCTATCCAGATGATTGTGGATGATCTGAAGATGCAGATACTAACTTTTTAATACATATCTTACCCATGCAAGCCTCGGTGTATAACCCCTACTTTTCTGCAGTTTAAATTATATTTATGCGTTAAGTTTTACGGAGTTGAATGAAACCCACTTGCATATATATATATATATATATATATATATATATATATATATATATATATCTTTATCCTATTAGTCTTACTAGTATGACAGGATCGTGTAGAATGCTATGCTACAGGACTCCGGTAGAAGTCGAGTGATTGCCTGTCACTCGTGAGATATAGGAAATATGTTACTATATAATTATCACTTGAAAAATATAAATAGTGGAAAGGAAAAATGGTGACTGGGCAGGGATATGGTTTGGGTATTGGTGGGTGTAAGAGGTTGTGTCGCCGTGGACACGGGGCATGGCTTGGTTACACTGTTTTCCCTGTCTGGTCGGTTAAGGACCGATCATTGCATAAGGTATCAAGGCAAGTCACAGACTTATTATCCCGAGCACATACTTGGGTATGGGCGCTTGGAAGACTTGTTGCTCTCTTGTCGCGGATCCGGTTCTTTCTGGACCGACTGTTAGGGTTTTATTTTGGTGGAGGAGGTCCTTGCACCGCACTGAGTCCGGGACTCAGGGGCGGGGGCTTGGAGTCCCAGTTTGGACGGAGACCTGGACACCCAGGACAGGAGAGTGATGGGTTGGTCCTGCTTGTGCCTTGGGTACAAGTGGGGCGTGTGTTTTCGGGGTACCCAGCTGGGGCATTGATTCGCGAATCGCCGGGCGATCTGGTACGGCTTGTCTCATGTTTAGCATCGTAGTAAAAACTGAAAGATGAAAGATAGAATGGAAAAAGAAACTCTGATTGCTTACCGCCTGCTTGAAAGTAGCACAGATGCTTACATAGAATGGTTAGTTAATGAACCAATACGGCTATTAATAAAAATCGAATATAAGGACGCACGCTTAGTAATGCTTCCTGCAAATGCAACCCACAAGCCAGATAGCCTTGCATATCTTTGGAGTCTTTTCTTTCCTCCTATTGGGTAAGTCTTGCTAAGTACAATTGAGTACTCAGGGTTTTATTCCCCCTGTTGCAGGTAACAGGTGGATGCGAGAGCTGACTCTTGTGTGTGGATTCCTCCTGGTGGGCTCAGAGAGGATTTCCTTTACGCTGCGATCGTAGTTTTTATTTACAACTCTCACCAAATGTTTTTATAAATGAAAGCTTTATAATCTATTGTCATAGTTTATATAACAATGCTTCATCATGCCATGCATATCTCTTTATTTCCACTGAAGTTTTGATCACATGTTTATATTCCGCTGTTCAATTAAATTGTTTATAACTCTGATAATATGATTACATTCCGCTGTTGTGATAATAAATATTCTACTCTGATATTGTATTAAAAGTGATCTAAGAAATGGTTAAATGATGTAAGTTTTATTCTCTCATTTGTGATCCTGATGGTGAAAATGTGGATTTTCGGGTTCTCCCCTAGGGTGTGCCCGACGGAACCGAGTAATTTAGTGTTCTCCCTTGGGTGCTTAGTGTCTAATGGAAGACAAGCACTCCTGAAAGGCATTTGATTAGACGGTTCTGCCACACTTGCTCCCCCGCTACTCGAGGAAGCAGATTGGCAACGACGATCTGATCGCATCCATCGATCAGGTTGGCCAGAAGCTCGTCGATTGCCTCTCCATCGCGGAATCGGTTCTGACCACTCTGGTTCGGCGCAGACCACCCTCCGGTTCTGATCTATAGGAAGTCGAACAGGAAACTCCAGGGGATACGGCCACCATCCATCAGGATGCCCTAAAGGGCAAATTCGTCGACCAGGCTGGGGACATCTACCCTCTCGTCGACCCGATTGCCGACCAGCTCTCGTCTACTGTCAATATGCTACAAATCGACCGACGTCCCACAGAATCCCTCCACACCATCCTAGAGAAAAATCCAGACTCCGAGTCCCAGGGCTCTACGGAGATTGTCGCCGAAACCGTCATCATCCAACCTCCTTTTCCACCATTCCATGAAGGTGGGATTAATAATGTCAAGACCGATGACCTACTGGCGGATGGAGAAAACGGCGAGAACCGCGCGGCTTCATTATAAATGTAAACGCCAACCGCAAGCGCAGCAGCCGAGCGAATGAGGCCGCCATTGTGTTAGCCGAGACTGCTCGCAACGGAGAACAACTCGGCTCGCAGGGGAGGCCATGCCCACTCCACCGCAACCTCGACGACGAATTCGTCCGTGTTGACGGCCACGACGTCTACAAGACCCCAAGCGCCAACTTGGCCGTGGTCGCTAACGAGCTCGCTCGGCTCGAACAAATGCCAGAGGTCGCCAAGGTCGCCGCAATGCTTAAAGCTGCGCACTGCCAGGTCAATGAGATCCACCAGGACCAGGGATCTTCCTACTTGACAAGCTCGAATCTCCGATCCGTCGCGCCAAGATCCAATCACCGCCCCGGCAGAAGCCGTTTCACCGACTGACATCGTGATGATGGACAACCCCTCCAGTGGGGAGCTAGGGGGAACCGTGACAACTACCCTCGCCAGCTTGACCAAGAAGTCGATCAAGATGTCCAAGCACACATCAACAACCTTCGGGATGCATGACGTCATATCGATGGGCGCCGTTTCTCTCGGCATGAGGAGGACGTACGCCAGCATCAAGAATACGAGTAAGAATTTGGTAATCCGGATGTAGCCCTCCAGCCACTTAACACTAGCAATGCCGTCGATCCCAACAGTGATGATCCCGAAGGACCCCGAGCATTCACGAGAGCACTCCGAACACTCTAGTGGTCCCGTGGTTTCAAAATCACCGGGATCGAGCCCTACAAGGGGTGGATGAACTCCACATAGTGGCTACAAGCTTATGCCATAGCTGTGCGAGCCACCGGGGGAGATACCAGTGTGATGGCGAACTATCTTCCCGTCATGCTCACGTCGACCGCAATGAACTGACTCACGAGCCTCACCCCAGATTCCATCGAATCCTAGAAACAGTTGAAGAAGGTCTTCACCGACAATTACACGACTACGTGTACTCGGTCGGGCACCAAGCACGATCTGAATCGCATTTATCAGAAATCGTCCAAACTCCTCCATAGTTACATCAGACGATTTTCTGAGATGAGAATTCTATTCCCAACATCACGAAAGCAGAGGTCATCACTGCCTTTGTCAGAGGACTCCATCACCGCAACCTCCACTCTAAATTCAATCGTAAGCCGCCAAAGGGGATTGACGAGATGATCACGACCGCCGATCAATACATCGACGTTGAAGAGGCCGAAGTTCGCTTCAACGAGGATGCGGGCACTCACCGCCCAACTCGCTGCAGTGACGAGCGCCCCGACGAACGACGCCACAATGACCGCCGCTACGACGACCGCGGCCACCATCAGGACAGTGGCCGCGATCGACCGGAAGGATCTAAAGCTAGTCAGTATCGCCGCCACCGACCAAACAACATCATCGCCACCGTTGACGAACCTCGCGCCAAGCGAAACTACGATGAGCAGTACAAGAAAATCCTCGAAGGCCCATGCCCCCTCCACAAGAACGGCAAGCACAAGATGAAGGACTGCCTTGGCTTGGCTAAGGAGTTCCAGGCCAAAAAGAAGGACGGCGACAACGACGACGGAGCCAGAGGTCGCCGACCACCTGGGGACAACAATAACGCCTTCCAGGATCACGACAAAGTGGTTGCCACTAT